TTTGAGGAAATAGGTTCCTAGTATATTGAGGTGACGATTAGGATCTTTAATTTATAAGAATTATTGTTTATAAGTTAATTCTTTGATTTTGTCGAATTCCAAAGGGGAATAGAATTAAGTTAGAAATAGATTGATTTGAGTTTGTCGGTTTTGATTCTTGTTGAATTTCATTGAATAAATTATTGTTTGATTTTTACTACATACTGTATATAGTTTATTACTAGAAGTTTAATTAAATATTTGATTTTGTTATTGACAAACTTTGTCATTATTTAATTCGGTGCACGCTTAAAGTCCAGGCCTGGCACACTAACGCGAATCCGCGTAAAGTACCCGTTAGGGAACGGCTATTTCCGGCACACAGTAGTATCGATAATCGTTGGAAAAGTCGGAAAAATAATATAGTACTGTACCCCGAGGTAATGGAACCAGGGGAAAAGGTAGGCGTAGATATTATGGGACCCTATCCTAGGTCCAACAAAGGTAATCAGTATCTTCTTGTTATGGTTGATTACTTCAGTAAATGGGTAGAAATTTTTCCCCTGCGAAAGATTACCGCAGAAAATGTTGTAAATTGTATGTATAAAGAATACTTTTGCAGGTATGGCATGCCAAAAACATTAATATCCGATAATGGGCCACAATTCATTTCTCACCTCCTAGCGGAAGTTTGTGACCGCACCGGAATTAAGCATATTCTGACAACGCCATATCATCATCAGTCGAATTTTACGGAAAGAGTGAACCGCACCTTGGGTAGGATGATTGCGGCATACATCGAAAGGATAGTATGACTTGACATTCTGTAAAACTCATGTTCAGTAATAAAAACATAAATTATAGAAGTAAAAATTAGATTACATGTAACTTACTTGATCCTAGTGTTATCATTATTCACTGGCAACACTTGATAATAGCATTAATTCCACCTGTTAACAAACAATATAACCCTTTTTCCAAGGTGCCACTACAAAACACTAATATGAAAGTCACTAACTCTAGAGTCCCTTAATAGCAATACTTTTTAAATAAAAATACTCACTATTGATATGTAGTTAATTCGTGTATGAAATTGTATATATAATACCTTTACGAAAATTCCACTAATTAGACTAGCATCAGAATGATTTTTAGGTATCTTCCAAAACAAATGACAGTGTTAATCCAACTGCTAATGAAGATATAGGAAAGAATATAATGGTAAACCCAAGTTTCATTGAAATCACAAATTGCAGCAGAAATTTGTCTGGATGTCTTTCAAACAGAGCTAGATTTTCATGAGATGTGTCTTAAACAAGCTTCTATATTGGTATCAAAAGCTTTAACTGTTGTAGGCAACAAGTCCAGTTCCTTTACTATTTTTGAATGGTAATTCATTAGTCCTGCTTAATGAGACTGTAGACAAAGTCTACATCTTAGGTGATGACTTCAACAGAACATTCAGGATAAGGCTCATTTCCTACACTTAAATGTAGTTGTCTCTTTCCTGACTGTGTTATATGAAAGTGTATCATATCTGCATAAATGTTCTTGGGCTTAACATCTTCTTCTGGGGATATTTTATCAGCTTCTGTTTACATCAGAAGCCTGTAACACACTAAGGAATATAAATTGGCATGCAACCATCCAATCTTTTGTATACATACATTCAAAGTGTTAAAGGAAAAAACATAAATTATTCAACAATATGATTTTGAATAAAGAGAGCTATTATCATGTTTTTCAATAAATTATTCCTTCTGACCAACTATTTAAATATAATTATAAAAATTTTTAATTTAACATAATAGAAAAATAATTTATTTGAATAAAATATTTACAACAGTATCCCCATAAAAATTACAAAATATGATTACAAAATATTAATCATAAAATTTTTAAAAATTTTATGATTAATATTTTGAATTTATGAATTTTATGAATATTTTGAATTTATGAATTATGATTACAAAATATTAATCATAAAATTTTTAAAAATCATAATTCATATAAATTCTGTAAACATGTTTGTTGGTATGTTTGTTTCAAATCTTATTTTTTATTTTTAGGGACCAGTATTTTTCTTAGAAAAAGGTAAATTGGCCATTTCTCTAAATGATGCAATTATGTGGGCCAAAGTCAATCCCTTTTCACCTCTAAACGATGGACAAAGAATTATACCATTTTAGTGCATAAACATTTTATTTAGATGACAAAAAAATCTGAAATTACTTTAAGAAGAAAATCATAGTATTTTATTATAAAATTTTATATGCTAAAACATGTATAGTTAATTTATAAATTAACATTTAATATGGTACATTAAATATGAATCAAATTATTTTGGGCATAAAAATAAATCAAATATTATCTGTTATATTGTTTAAATGAGAGTATAACTTAATATAATTAATAATCATTATGTTATAAAATTTAAAATAAAATTATAGCTATATTCCAAATTTAATTCTATATATGAAATTATAATGCAGTCCAGAAATACTTGCATTAAAAAATTTTAGCAAATGCAATTAAATAATTTGATATTACAATTTTGACTACCATAACATTGAAAGTGTATGTTTTACAGTAGACTTGTGATCAGACATGTCAAAGTTTTTTTATATAAACAGTTCAAAATAATTATATATTTTTAATTATTTTGTACTGCTCTTTTTATTACAATATAGTATTATTAAATAAAAATTGGTAAAAATGCAATCACAAACACTTTCATAAAATATATGATTATTCCATGTGTGAGATTAGTCACAGGTAGGAGGTTCCTAACCCTTGATTGGCGTCAGGTTGGTAAAACTCGTCTCGGGGTCACTGGATGACTTTAAAATAGGAGGGTCTTAAATTATTGGGTGGGAAGGTCAGTGAGTAAGTCAACAGGTGTCCAAGATTTGTTAGAGACAAGTAGCCAGGTTAACAATTACAACAAAAGTTTAATATACAGTAGTGCGTCATTTATCCTTATCAATTGGGGACTGGGGTTGTTCATATAACCTATTTTTCAGATAACTGATTATATACGAAAAAATATATTAACCTATCCCATCCTGAAATTTTTCTCCGTTGCGTGTCGCTTTGCGTTGAATTTTTGTTGATGTTAAGCCTAACATAAACTTTTTAAAATAATAATCGTGGCTATTGTATTGTTAAAAATTATTTCCTTATTTTGTACAAACAAAATAAATATATTGAAAAATATAAAAACAATAGAAGTTAATTTAGTATCAAAAACATAAAATATTTGAGTAGCCCAAGACATAGCCAAAGATTTCAGTGCCACAGCACTAGCGAAAATTTAAATTTGCCAACTGGAATTCTTTCGGATAAACGACGCTCTACTGTAGTTATATAGTTATATATATACTAAATCTATGGTTACAATATATATATATATATATATATGGGTTATTATATACAAGGCTTGGTCATAAAGTTCTAGTGAGACTGTTCTAACTACTGCCATTTAGCTACTACCACTTCATTACTACCATTAGAGAGTTTACATATAACCTTACAAAATATCTCTGAGAGAGATGCAGATGTCTGAGGAGTCGGAGTCGGGGTCAGTCACTTCTTTGAGAGGAGACTTTGTTGCATGGAGGTCTTGGAATCTGTCAAGCCTTGGGTCCTCTTCTATGGCAGTGTCAGCATCACATGGGCCTGGGGATGTCCTGTCCTGGTTATGTCTGCCTTGGATATGGAGAGAAGGGAAAACTCTGATGGAAATATAGCGACAGTGGAGGGAGTCTGCTGATGTCCACGAGTCTACCTGAATGCCTTGGATGGAGACTGCCCTGTGTCTCAAGTCCCACCTGTTTTTATCTTTGGTTGCCTGGGAAAAACTCATCAGGTGATGACTGTTGAGTGGAAACTGCAGGTGTTGGGTCAGAGGTAGCCCAGGAAGATGTTACAACATCATTATCTCACGGCTGTTATGTCCAAATATGGTTTGCTTCTTGCAGGATGCATGCAGCTGGCTTACTCATCACAAGTTGACCCTTTCCTCTCGTAAAAATAGCTTGTTATCATTCACATTCAATTATTATACTTTGCGCCTGGTTGTTGATACCAAAAGCTGATATTTAATCCTTTGTCTCCACAATGTTTTGTTAACGAATGAGGATTGAGAATTAGGCTTAAAATTTAGCACACCTGTAAATTCGCCTAATTGCATCTGATTTCTCACACATGGATAAAATTGCATGGTGTCTGCTTGCTTTTGTTGAAAATTTGGTATTAAAGCATTATCACAGGCACTGTAAAAATTACAACTGAAAAATAAACCACATATGAAGATAAGGCATATCCTTTACAGCCAAACACGTCAAACTATGTTATCTGGCTTTTTCCTTCAGCTGCCTACAGCATTAAGCCAGATAATATATATATAAATTGAATGTATATCTATTTGACTATTATAATGTCCACATACATACATACATACATACATACATACACATAACATTGAAAGTGTAGGTTAAGAAATTAAATTTGTTGAGCAGATATATATAATAAATATTTCCTCAACAAAATTAAGGGAGAATGCATTATAAGAAGAAATTTTAGAGTAAATACAGAAGCTTTAGACATAAAGTGTAATAGTAGACAATTATCACTATAAAAGTTGTGTGTATGAGGAAAGTGCTTTGTGGTTTATCAGTATTATACTGCTATATCTTTTTTTGAAGAATGTTCAACCATGTCTCATCAGCAAGATTTATCAGATTCTGTAGCATGATGGGCAGTAAGAATCTGGTCAAACTCTACAACAGCATCTGCAATAGTCTGTTGTCTGTGTCATTATCAGATCGAAGAGTAGATTCCAAAATACGGGAACAGTACCCAAAAGACAAGGACATGGTTGTAGACTAATTATTACTCAAAGAAGGTAGGACCATTATTTGCCACTAATTACTCATTGGAATTGTCAACAGAATACCACAAAATTGCAAAAAGTGTTCTGTGGGAACAGGGCAGCTTGTATTGACACTACCATTTGTTGTCATCTTCATTAGGAAGGACATAACCTCAAACACATTAATGACCTCTGGGTATAAACAAATATGTTGTTTTTGAAACTGTGTTTTGCAAATATATTGGAAATAAAGCCAAGTGCTTATTTATAACTCTGTGAGTTCGAAGTCCATCATTTTTAGTTGACTAAAATCAACTAAAAATGATGGAAATAAAGCTCAATATAAACAAATAATCAATGTAGAACTCAAAGATAGCTTTAGAACATGCATCCCAATTTCTAAGCAATGGCAATTTGATCTGTTCTATTGAGATTCAGCATATAGGCAGAAAATTGTAGAGTTCTCATCTGCATGAGAGAGGAATCTGAAATAACCCTTTCCTTGTACAAGAACAGGCTCCATCTAGTAGAGGAAAAATTTTTGTTTTGGGCATGCATAAATGTTGATGGTGTTATTGCAATCAATGAAACCATTTCTAATTACATTCAGGTTGGTAATTAGAAGATGCTTGCTATTGAAATTAGAAATACTTTCCTTCTTACAGATAATAATTCACCTTCATCCAAAGCCTATGTTGAAAGATGAAGGCATGAAGCACACAGATCTGTTTGCTTACCAGATTTAAATCCTATTGAACACACTTGGGACATACTGGGAAGATGAATGTACATGTTTCAGGAATTCTTGTCGTATCCTTACCCACTCCTATTGAGTTAGATCATGCCCTGAAACAGGAGTGGCTACAGATGCCACAAGAATTTCTGAATATTCTCATTTTATCAACATTATATAAGTATGCTATTGTTATATGGTTCATGGAAATCATACATCTTACTAGAGATGTTTTATTTTTTTTTAATCAGGAATCTATCACTTGCCCTGACAAGTTGTCAGATGTATGTAAATTTAGATAAATACAGTAAGAATAAAAACAAATGTACAGTAAGACCCCACTTAACAGGGGGATGCGTTCCTAGACAACAAAGTGCTAAACAAAACAGCGTTAAATGAGGTCATTTAACATAAAGTAAATAGGGAAAGGGGAACACACAACCAAAAATAAACAGATTTTAATTTTAAGTTATTTTTATATTAATTTCCATAATAATATACTGTATTTACTCACATGTAAGACAAGGTTTTTATTCATTTATCACAGCTTCAAATTCCTAGGTTGTCTTATACGCGCGAGTGAAAGATTCTTTGCATTTTTGCAAAAAATTTTTGTGAAACTTGTATTCACATTTTTTCCCAAATGCTTATCCTCTTGTATTTAAAAACATAAGTATTTTATCTAGGTCATTTGAATCGTTCTTGTATATAGTCAGGAGTAAAGATGAATAGCAATACCAATAAGGAAAAGAAAAGCTTTTGAATTGAATTTCAGATTGAAATTTCAAAATCACTCAGGAGCCCGATATAAGTTTTAATCCATTTCCAGTGAAAACACATGATTATTTGGAAATTAGAATTCAGAGAAACTCATAAGTGTAATCGAAGGAGAGTGGATTCAACTGTTAAGAATTGGCAAAAAAAAAGGGTTCCTGATTGTCCAGCTTTACATGAACAAATAATGTTGTCAATTTTACAAGATTTTTCCTTAAAGTTAAATGCACACATTGTCCTGCAAAAATTACTGACATTTTATATTCATTTGATATTTTACTTGTGATTAAATGAAATAAAATTAGAATTGTATTAATAAATCTAATTTTCTTTATTGACGAGACTGTTGCATCTCTAAAATCATGCTGCTGTCAATGGCTGGACACCTTAGAGGTATGAAGGAGTACTGTACGTCAGGAGTTGCAGTTTGGCACAGAGTACTTGGTGCCCAAATCATGCACATACAAAAAATCCAGACTTGTAGGTAGTCAGGGGACCAAGAACTGGGTCAAAATAAAATACAAAATAGTGAGATTGTTTCTAGAAACAGGTGCAAGTGAGAGATTTGCACATGCATTACTTGCGCTCTCTGAGACATAGTCTCGTCCAAAGAATGGCTTTGCCATTTTACTTCTTTTGATCTTTAAAGCCACACTTTGTTCTATGTGAGAGGTCATCTTATATGCGAGTAAATATGGTTTGTTAAATAACACATAAACATACGCACACAGAAATGTAAAGTTCATTTTTTGTGACGAAGGTCCTGGCTTTTCTGAAATTCTTGATTTTTTTTTTTTTTTTGCAATGAAGTTATCTAGTGACAATTGTTGCTTTTTTTCTCTTTTGTTAAGCAACTATCAGTAGCAGGAGATCACATCAAAAATGTTTCATTTTGCTTTTGCACTCCTTTC